GCTAATGCATTGCATTGAGAGATTGCAAGGTGTGGCACTAGGTGATCGAGTTGCAAGGTGGTGGTGCTTGTTACTCTTGGAGGTTGCCACCTAGACGGCTTGGTGGTTGTGGTCTCCGTTGTGAAGCCCGCATGAAGGTTGTGCGTGGCTCCAGAGAAGGCTTTTTGTGAGGGGTGTTGTGCTCGTCCCACGATAGACGCGAAGAGTAACTCTAGTAGAGTTAGGTGTGAAGAGCGCCAAGTGGTCCGACTAGATCGAAGTGCTAGAGCTCTTGGGTGAGCACTCCCTTTGGTGGAGATAGTGAGCTTGTGGGCTCACCACTAGCAAGAGGATCGGCGGTAACCTTGGGCTTGCCTTAACGGGGATTAAGTGGTTGGCAAACCACTGAATTTTGGGATAAAAATCACAGTCATCATCTTCCCGTTGGTTTGTAATTCCTTAACACAAACTTGTTTACTTGTTCATATATTGTGCTGGTGTGGTTGCTCTTGTGCTAGCTATCTTGTGTAGCTAAGTAGCGTTGCTTAGCTTGTGTAGCTAAGTAGTCGAGCTCTCTAGTTTAGCTTGTGTAGCATTGCTAGTGAGTAGTGCTAGTGTGCTAGTGTTGCTTAGGCTTTGTGCACTTTGCTCACTAGTATGTGTAGGAACTCCCCGTGTGCTTGTTGACTAGTTGCATAGGTTGACCTTGCTAACTAGAATTGTGCATGTGAGCTCCCACTAGTTCGGCACTGTAGTTACTTAGTTAGGATCTTTGTAAGGTGATAGTGAATATAGATAGAGGGATGTAGTTTTGATTAGATCGATTAATTTATTTTTTGTATTTGTTTCGGTTAACCGGCACAATAAGTTCTAAAAAGAACTATTCACCCCCTCTAGTCCTTCGTCTCGACCCGACATGGTGCTCAAGCCAGCCTTGACCCCTGTCATTGTGAAGTCATTCGCCTATGCCCAACAAAGGGAGGGAGGGAGAGAGTACTTCAATTTGCAGTCCTCGGTGACAACTGACAAGTTAAGAACATCCAGAATCTCAGAATGTCACAACAGAAATTTCCTGATGAAACGGTTCATTCAATAAAGCAAATTCTCATGTATCTTTTTTTTTTACAAAAATAGCTGTATACATTTCCTCCGTAGGGATCCCAAAACTTCTGATACACAGTATGAGAAAGAAAATTGAGCTCTGAATTCAGGCATTGATCAACGACCAAACTATTGCCTATGATATATGAGAAGTTCCCAGCCATGGTTAACGGTCACAATGAGGATCCTCTAATACGTTGGGATGGAGGAGTCGGCTTTAACCGCATAGGCATGAATTCCACCTGCGACATTGTAAACTTTTTTGAAACCCTGCAAAATGATGGAAAATGAGGATTGAAAAGCACAATATTATTCACATATCGAATAAAAGAGTACGAGCACCCTTTTGCAGGAGTGTGAGTACACCAATTACCTGTGACTGCAACCATTTAGCCACCTGCATTGAGCGCATGCCATGGTGGCACTGAGAAGGAAAAAAAACAGATGACAAAGGGTCATTAAGTGGCATTATGCACCGCTGCTAATATAATCAATTTACCATCTCAACTTTCTTGAAAGTAGAAAGTACCATTTTTTATTTCTTTCGAAGTTTAAAGAGGTGCAGTACTTGTGCTTCAAGCATGGAAATCTATATACTCCTATTCACTAGGTCATTACCATTAACTCAACACCAGAATACTGTCAGCAAGTTTCATGGAAAAGAATTTACCAGAACATAAGTGTCCTTTTGAGGATTAAACTCGTCTGTCATAACTGGTCCCCAGGTCCCAAATTGGCGGAGCGGTAGAACTTTGAAGCCTGGAAGTGAAGCTTTCACCCTGCCATGCAGGTAGTAGAAATTCAACATCAATCCAGTAGAAAATAATTAAATAAATAAAAGAATGAAACTGAACTTCATCACAATATCATTCCTGAAAATGCAAGAGAACTAAAAGTAATATACTAGCTGAATGAAATAACTGTATGTCCCGATTCGTGTGCTACAAGTATGTGAGGCACACTCTAAAATTTGTGCAGTTAGGATCTTACAACTTCCAAGTATGAGGGGGTTGGTCCATATGAGATAAAGCTGCAATTAATGCTTACTTGTTTTAACAGCTTTAGCCTGATGACTTACAGATTTACTTTTGGAAACCACATAAAGTTACTGCAATTATTTAATAATTTAACATTTATGATCCAGTTCATTATTTGTGAGATCACGACAATGTATGGACATTACTCTCGATTCTCAAATGAGGACAAGTCCCAACTTTATCCATTCTGGTTAACACATAACCTACACCTTACAAAAAACCAATGTCATTGCAAAAGTTACTGATCTTTTTACCAGAACGCAATATCAGCAAAGTATTTGCATCCTCATTCATAAATGCAGATCTTACATTCTAAGGACAAAAGGCCACACATGTCTCACACACAAAGTTGGGGGCACTTGTCATGAATGCCATGTTAGTTTGATTATTGTGTGGAGACAAAATAAAAGAGAAAGAAAGTATAATGGTGAAATATCTTACACTTCATCAGGCTCCCGAACATCAATCAATTGAGCCTCTTCGAGAAAACTAGGGTCTTGCATTTTTGTGTGAAGCTCTTCTGGGTCAATGTCTTGCAGTACGCATTGATCCCTGGCATTTAGTAAGGAAGGTATCAGTTTCTGTTCATGCACACCTAATTACCAACACATAGTATTTCAACGTTAGTACCATGTACCTCTCAGCAAGAACTTGCAATAGATGCCATCCAAATTTTGTCTTACATCGTACAACTTTGTTCAAAGGAGCACTAAATGCTGCCTCCTCAAATTCTGGTACCTGCCCAATGCAAGTTTGAAAGTTCAAACTACAACTGGACAAACAGTATGAAAGTATATAAATGGATGAAAACCTAGACAGATAATTCAGTGGCTTTAGGTGCATATGCAGGTGACAGCCTTCAGTAAGCAGATAGTACAAATGTCTCCAACAAGAAGAAATAATTTGCGGTGAGACTCTGAAAATTATGTGATAATTATGAGAACCAATCCTACTACCTCGCATACCAGGGTTTCCACAATTGAAGAAAAAAAAGCGTTGGGCGTACTGATCAAATTATTGAACCAGTGCTGGATATCACTTTTCCCCCGGGGCAAGTTGCCTTAAATTTCTAATGCTTTGATAGTCAAGAGTAGAGACTATTTTGGCATGTGGAAGAATGAAGTGGCTGTACCAAAACAATAATATTTTCTTGTCTATCAATTGGTTGCCAACTCTTAACATGTTGCAAGGAAAGAGTAAATCCTTATTACACTACATAAGTCAATTGAATGTCACAGTAGCCCAACGCAATGTACTCTGAAGCATAATTCTTTTTAGTTTACTGAATAGATTTCACCGACACTGCCCAGGTAAAGGAGGCAATAAATATATGTAAAGGCTACAAGAATACTGTCTTAGTCTACTACTATGCTAGAAAAACAAGTTAATGCTGTACCATCTGTCCCCTTCGAACCCACCCGAGCATACCACCATTTTCTTTGGATGGACATAAGGAGTGCTCCACAGCCAAATCACTCAAGTCTGCTCCTGAAATGTTCAATAATGCCATTTCCATTGTAATTGCATATGTTCCCAATTAACCCAAATTATGTACGTAAGCTGAGCACGTTAAATATCACGGTCCAAACAAGATTAGAAGGTCATCCAAAAGTACATACAAAGGTAGTTTGAGAATCAGATGGTACCTCCTGCAATGATACTCTTTTCGAGATCAACCAGAAGCCTGACATCCTTTTCACCAACAAGCAAGTGCTGAACTAGCAATTCTTTCCCCTCTCTTTGGACGCTGCCGGCGGCAGTGCAGAGAACTGAGCAGCAAAGATTTGTTTGAGTTTCTCAATTCAACCTTGTGAGTAGTAACATTCCAAATGCAAATGACTGCAACCAGTAGCCACGTTACATGATGGAAAGTGCAAAACATTCATTTCCACCAGGTGGCCTTCAGCCTTCAATATAAGATAAGTAGCAAAATCCTGTCAAACTACACAACTAAAAATGCTAGTACCAAATTGTCTGCGATTTTCTGAGCATGCAACTACTAGAATGTGCTAGGACCAATGAATTAATTTGCAAAACTAACTGCACACAATCACTCGAGAACAAGCCCCAGAAGCAACGCTATACACACTATGGAATCTAATGAGTATGATACTAAACGCAATACAGGAAGCTCAACAGCTCGCCATAAACAACACCCCTAAACTACACGAGAACACGGCGGAGATGAAATCCTCTACAAGACTACAACCATTCGACCACTGGCTCGAGAAACACACCCCCACCGTCAAAAATCACACACTCACCGCGTGTGGTCGGCCTGGAGGGGCCACCGGTTCCCCCGGGACGCATGGGCGCGGCCCACCTGGCGGAGAGAGTCGCCCTCGCCGACGGCGGTGCGGGCGCCAGAGGCGCGAGGGCGGCGAGCGGGGAGGCGCACGCGAGCCTCGCGAGCGAGAGCGACGCCGCAGGAGCGGAGGAGGGAGATGGGGACGGGCGCGGGAGCTGCGCCGCTGCGCGGGCGCGAAGACCAAGCATGGCTGCCCTGCCCTGCCGAGGAAGGGGAGGGAGAGATTCCTTTGTTGGGAGCTGGATGCTCTACCTCTCGCCTCGTGCTCTGCTGCTGCGTCTCCCTGAAGATTGAAGAAGGAGCCGGGCCCGGGCTTTGTCAGACGATGGGCCGAGCCTTTGAGCCGCTCCTTCCTACGTGGACCGAAAGATTTTATGGGCTGAGAAGAAATAAAAAGTGAGCCCACGAACTTTGGCGTGCACGCGGTCGGCACTCCCGGCGGAGTCGCGTGATGCATGCGTCGGAGCGTGGGTCCCGCAGATGCACGCACACGCACGGCACGGCGCAAGAGAAGCACGCACGCATCCCGCGGCAGGCAGGCGTGCCTCCGCGGGGATCCCCAGGCCAGGCCAGAGATGGGCAACGCGAGCGGTCGGGCGGAAGACCTCGCGGACGCCGACATGGACGACGGCAAACACGTGCGCCGCGCCTCCTCCTCCTCCGCGGGCTACGTCCGCGGCGGCGGCTCGTCGTCGTCCCCGCCGACGAGCCCGCCGAGGCCGCATTCGCCGCGGATGTTCGTGCCCCAGGTCAGATCGCCTGCCTTCTCATGATTCATCACATATGAAATGCTATGATTACGCCTCGCCTCCTCGAATTCGAATTATTTGGCTCGGCCGGCCGGCGTTCCTCATCGCCACGACGCACGTGTACGTAGTTGATCGCTTGGGATTTGTGTCCGTTCTGGTCCGGGCGTTTGGCCTGGAATGTTTTTGGTTTTGTTGCGAGCTCGTTTAATTTGGCTGATGGCTGCGCTAGTTCATGGTGCGAGGATTGTTTGTGTTTTGACGAGCTCAGAACATGCATGATGATGCGCCAAGGCATTAACTAACTAGAATGTTCAGCCTTATGTCTCTGACACTCTAATGTTGCCTGAAGATAATAATCTCTGTATATGTCTGAAAAAGGGGCTAGCGCGTCAAATCCTGTATAAGTATAATATAACCAGTTTTTTCCCACTGTACAAGCGGGTTTTTCTTTTGCTCTGAGCTATGATAACATGGGTTTACTACTAGTGTATCGTCATCACTCCCTTAGTTTTATTTAACGTAGTTATTAATCACCCTATTCGCTTATATTGAAATTTGGCTTTATGCTGATGCTTATGCTTATGCTGAAATATTGTGGGAGGAAAACACTATTCCATAGCTCAAGCAAACAGGTGATTATGTTTTTAGATTTTCATAGTAGACAATGGCTGTATCCAAGAATGTCGGCCCTTTTAGTGTTTTCTTACCAAGGGATCAAAGATTTGGCAGGGAAAAAAAAAGACTTTTCATAGGGACAACAATATGTATGAGATGGTGTACGTCCTCCTATTATTATTGTGTTGTTATGAAAATTAAGGCTACTGATATGATACTTTTTACACGTGTATTGTAACCTCTTGATTGGCTAAAATCTAGTTTTTATTGATGTTAACAATGTTGCAGAGTGTATGTATACACGTGGACATTGATTTTTGTGTTATTCGGATTTTGGTGGAACAATGCAGCTTTGCCCATTCATTAGCAAATTTTATTATACTTCTATGATTCATTTGTAGCATTCTACTATCTCATAACATGCAGGATTCTCTGATCTATATAACTTTTTTTTCTCTGGTAAAATTAATTGGAGTATTTGATATATTTCAGAGTCCTGTAACTCCGTTGCAAAGAGCTGCAGAAGTACCTCCTCCAATGTTCAACCAGATATTGATGAATCAACAACAGGAGGATTCTGATGGCCCACCTCAAAAGAAAATTCCCACGTTGCTTACGTGGACTCTTGGGGGGAGAAATATCTATGTAGAAGGATCATGGGACAAGTGGACGTCAAAGTACAGTCAGACAGAAATATATATGTCTTCCATTTTATCCTATGCCTCTGAAACTTATCAATAGAAGAGAGTTTATTCTGACTGTTAACATATACATACATGACAGGAAACCTGTTGAGAAATCCGGAAAAGATCACACCATTCTGCTGATGCTTTCATCTGGAGTTCACCGTTATAGATTCATTGTAGATGGGGAAAGAAGATTTATACCCGATCTTCCCTGCGAAACCGACAATATGGGTCAGATTGTGAACCTAGTAGATGTCCATGTAAGTATTCTCCCTTTCACACTGAATATCTGACTCCACTTACTATGTGTTTGAATTTGACCTTTACTGAACTCAACATGCTGCTATTAGTGTTTCTGTGTTTATATAGGTTAAACATATACTTAACCACAAGAATCAGGCAGAATGCATATGGAATGTACCATTTACACATGATATAATAGCCGGTCAAGTCCGTTTGTCTGAATGTTATATTCTAAGTCTTCCTTTGTTGATTATTACAGACCAATTAATTGAACATTAAACTAATTGCTCACTGGAGTTTCGCTGGAGAGAAACCCAAATTAAACGAAATCACAATTTAGACTTTTAGATTGTTACACACGGAAAGAACCGAAAAGATATAACTGTAGAAAGATCATCTGTAAAGCATGATTTCAATTTTACCAAGTCGACTGCTCACTGCATGTACCTTCCTTTGTGTAGACTCGGCTGGCTGTTGTAATCTTACTCTTGTTTGATTCTTCAAAAAAAAAAAATCTTACTCCTGTTTGCATCATGCAGGACTTCATTCCTGAAAGTGTGGAAAGTGTATCTGAGCTCATGGCTCCTCCCTCCCCGGACTCCAGCTACGGTTTCCATGTTCCCGGCGAAAAGGAGTTCGCCAAGGAGCCTCCTCAGCTGCCGGCCCAGCTCTACCTCGGCGTGCTGAATTCTCGGAGCTCGGAAGAAGGCTGCGCGAGGCCGAGGCACGTCGTCCTCGACCATCTCTACATCGAGAAGGGCTGGGGCGCACAGCCGCTGGTGGCCCTCGGCTACACCCACAGGTTCCGCTCCAAGTACGTGACCTGCGTCCTGTACAAGGCCATCGAGCGGTAACCTGACCGCGGGCTGTGCTGCCGACAAGCTCATCTCTGGCAGTTCATTCAGGTTTAGAAGTCTCTCCTGCATAATTCGTTCATCTGATGAACTAAAGAGGTGGGTGCAAATCCATGTGAATCTTTTTTTTTAGCTATTAGCTTAGCAATTCTGATTCTTCAAACTTTCTTTGGGATAATGATAATTTTGACGGCTTAGTGCCGGGACAGTAGGATGTCAGTCTCAGGGCTGCTTATTGACATGTGCAAATGGTGGAGATTTTACTGCTGTGGTCTGGCATTTTCTAAGCTTATTATTGAGTGATCGACTACTGCTAGCGCTCAAGAAAATTCCAGGGCCAGTTGGGCCGGATCTCAGAAATTGATTGAATATCGAAAGCCCACGAGCACTAGACGTGCCAACATCCGAATAGCTACAAATCGAAGGGTTCCTTTGAGAACTGATTGGAATTTTGGCGCTCCGCGTCGCAACCGCGTGGAGGCTATATACGTCATTTCCCTCGTTTGAAAAAAGCCAACTACCCTCCATAATCCAGATTCCTTAGCTTTAGGGCCCCACGTGTTCGCATCGTCCGGCAAAAGTCGCTGACCTCACCTTAACGGAGTTGTTCCAAATTTACCAAAATGACACAAATTTCTTATATCTCCTTGATAATACTAGCTTCTACTGTGGAATTTAATCATTTATTGTTTAAAAATCCTAAATTTCATTGGTGATTCGTGTTCAAGCAGCTGTTCCCAAGTTACCAAACCGAACAAGTTTCTTACATCTTCGTGATAATAGTTGCCTCTATTCTGAAATCCAATTATTGTTTAATAAAAAAATCCTAAATTTCAATGATGATTCGTGTTCAAGCAGCCATCGCAGGTGAAGTATAATAAATCTATAAAGAGAGTTGGCGGACTAGCACGCTTATATCCCTACTCATGAGAAATGATGTACTCCGTATATCTTAACATCTGTGATGGTGCCCATGCAAACTAACTAGCACTTGAATGCTGTGAAAAAAACACTTATTTCTTCCGTCCACAAAAAGAATGCAACTTTGTGCATGTCAAACTAACTTAATTTTGACCAAATTATAGTATTAACATTTAGTCTCAAACTAGATTTACTATGAAAATATAATTCATAATTAATTTAATGTTACCTATCTTGTATAATAAATGTTAGTACTTTCTAAATAATTTTAGTTAAGCTTTAAAACGTTTGACTCGTGAAAAATAAAAATCACATCTTTTTATGAACGAAGGGAGTACTTACCATATTCTTAAAGACACATGGAGTATTTCTTTTTTCAATGACATTGCATTAGTGGTTTGGGGTAGAGGTACTAGGTATAAAACAATATATGCTATCATTGTTGTACTAAACTTTTGCAAAAGCAGAGAGAGAGAGAGAGAGATTTCTATTTGAACTTGATGTCTAGCGTCCAAGAATTTTTGTTGACACTTAAAGGTTGTAGAAAAAGAGATGTGCTTGCCCTGTTGAATTTTAGGGGAAACAAAGAAAAGTTTGGATTCAAATCTCTATGGATTGAGTTATTGTAGCATCCTTGGTTCACACTTGTGTAGGAAAGACATAAAAATCTTTCCTTTGGATTTGTTTCCGTAGGAAAACCACATAAAAAAGACACATCTACTCAAACTTCGGTGTTTCTTGATTCCTATGTCTTTTATGAAGTTCATCCAAACATCCATTTCTGCCAAATTTTCATGATTTTCATTCCTCTCTTTACATATTATACGTTTCTATCCGTGCATTTTTTTTTCAATTTTACGCTCCAAAGAGGACCTTACCTAAAGAGTCCCTGAATGCTCAAACTTGGGTCATTAAAACATGAACACAATCAACATAATAATATTTTGAATTTACAATATTTATAAATATATATTATTTTAAGTAAAAAGAGTTATATGCTACTTTTTATAATGATATAGCAATATCATTCTTGTGGCATTAATTATTATATACTCCTACTAGAAAGATGTTTTCATAATAAAATATCAAGTCGTTTGCCATAGACTTTTTCTACGTGTATATATGGATTGTTCTGTTTGAATTTCATCGGAGCACTCCTTGTATGCCATAGTAAAAAAGGACATTGGATTTTGTGTAGGTTTGATTTGAGTTGAGAAGGGAAAAAGAATAGCCCAGGGGTAGTTTGGGGAAAAAATATTTGGATGTTGGCGAATGTGACGGCCACGTCTAGTGGAAGCGCGTATAAATCGGGGAAGGAAAATTCCAGCGGACGCCACGCCACTGAACGCTCCAAGCCCTTCTTCCTCCCCCGTCCCCGATCCACTCCCCGCTTCCCGCTCCGATCGATCTGATCCCTCCCCACCACTGCGCCCATGGCGGACCAGCTCACCGACGACCAGATCGCCGAGTTCAAGGAGGCCTTCAGCCTCTTCGACAAGGACGGGGATGGTAAGGTTCCCTCTCCTCATCCCATCTCTATCTCTCCGTGTTCCTTCGGATCTGATCTCCCGGAGATGTTCGACATGCGGGGCTGCCTGAGTAGTGGCATTGTTTAGACGGGGTAGATCCGATCCATCCCGGATCTGGACTGAGTCCGCGGCGGGGCTCGATCGCGTCGCTGTCTTGTGCATTTCTCCCTGCTAGTGGCGGAATCGGCGATGTGGACCTGAGGCTTATCTGCTGCTTTGACCATTTCGTCACTGACAATCATGTCGTTCTCTGTTTGTATGTGAATCCTGCGAGATGGCCAGGTGATTTATTTTTTCTGGGAGCAGTTTATCCTTTGACCCAGTCTTTGGGCATGGCCGCGTGGGCTGTGTAGTATGAAGAGGTTGCAGGAGGCTGATTGCTACCGAACCTTTTTCAATTTATTAGGCTTTTCGTGCTCCAGGTTGACCGAAGTTTGGAGCGGGTTAAAAAACTGTGTTCAGTTTGTGCAAGTAATTTTCCTAGTAATTATGTGATCCAGCTCAACTTCGAGCCTGTTTTTTTCTATGTGCGTGTGTCAATACCTTGTTCCATAGTCCATACTGTGCAGCAGTTGACCCAAAAAAGGAAATCTTGGACCGGACTTATGTTAGGAAAACGATAATGCTTAGCACCCTGATTGGCTCAATTCCTGTCGCAACTCATGTTGGGTCAAAAGCTGATGATTTACCACTTAGAAACTGCCCTGCTTTCCACATAGCACTCAAACTTTTTTGACTAATATTGCCCCTTTTGACATCTTGATCCCCCCCCTAATCTGCTGAACTATTTCTCTCTTCAATAACTATTTACCTAGTTATAATTACAGAAATGGTTGTGCGTATCTTGTGCAGGTTGCATCACGACCAAGGAGCTGGGAACTGTCATGCGTTCACTGGGGCAAAACCCTACAGAGGCTGAGCTCCAGGACATGATCAACGAGGTCGATGCTGATGGCAATGGCACCATTGACTTTCCAGAGTTTCTCAACCTTATGGCTCGCAAGATGAAGGACACCGACTCTGAGGAAGAGCTCAAGGAGGCCTTCCGTGTGTTTGATAAGGACCAGAACGGCTTCATCTCTGCTGCCGAGCTCCGCCATGTCATGACAAATCTTGGTGAGAAGCTAACTGATGAGGAGGTGGATGAGATGATCCGTGAGGCTGATGTCGATGGTGATGGCCAGATCAACTACGAGGAGTTTGTCAAGGTCATGATGGCCAAGTGAGCCACAGAACCATAATCTGAAGGCAGAAAAGATTGTGCATTGCATATTACTATATTAGTCAAGATGCAACTCTTATTTCATCAACTTCCAATGAAACATTCTGCTAGTTGTAGTTGCTGAAAGGCAATGCAGTTCCTGCTTTGTTCTTCCCTCCAGTGTGTTTTCAGAACTGTTGTTTCATGTGAACCTGTAATGATTGTGCTCCCTGCTGTGTCTTGATTGCAGTTGAAACGATATGTAGTTATATTCAACCTCCCCACAGTTCCACCCCCACACCCCCACTCACACACACATCAACTTCTGCTTCACTCTGTTAGTATCAATGGATGGCCCCTTGTTTTTAATGCAATGATCTTTAGTTACTGAGGCAGATGCTCCTTGTGCTTAGTGCAAATTTATTCCAAACTGCTGTTTGTATTGTTGGTTTAATGCATGATGTGGACTGTTTAAGATGCTTCTTGTGCTAAGTGAAATGCAGTCTCGGCCTTTTCTGTTATTGGGTGAAAGCTGACATGGATCCTTGGAGTGGTAGCCTGGTAGGTGGTAGGTACCAGCTACCAGTACCACATGTCCTCCAGGTCTTCTTAAGTTCTCAAGTTTCTTGTTTTTGTCGAAACGTACGCTGTGCTTGGGAGAGTTGAGCTCATGGAGCAGAACAAGAGAGCCAAGGTGCTGTGCTTGCATGGCTTCCGTACAAGCGGGAGTTTTTTTAAGAAGCAGATCAGCAAATGGCACCCTTCCATATTTCAGCAGTTTGAGATGATTCTGCGCTGGATTCAGTGATCTGGTCTATTTGGTTTGCTTCCTTCTTTTTCTTGAGCATTTTTCTTTACTGTTTTTTTTTTCAGGTCTTCCCTGATGGCTTCTTCCCAGCTGGTGGAAAGTCATTGATAGAGGGAATATTTCCGCTGCCGTACTTTGAGTGGTTCCAGTTCAATAATGTTAGTGCTTTACATGGAACCAAACTGAAATCAGCTCGTCCCATGCCATTCTGATACCAGAGTTATATTTTAGCGACAGTTTGATCACCATCTATGCCTTAGCTATTCATGCCAGAGATGACCACTCCTTTATTTCTGTTCCTGTGTGCCAAAACACTTCATTGCTTGCATGTTTTTCCACACAGGAATTCACTGAATACACAAATCTGGACGAGTGCATTTCATATCTATGTGATTACATGGTGAAAAATAGACCTTTTGATGGCCTGTCGGATTCTCCCAGGTAAAAATGGAAACCAGAAGTTACTTTTACCGATCACCTGAGAGTTGAATGTCCTATCTTTTTGGAATTGGAATGTATTCCTGAGATTCTCTAGTGTACATGCAAACTAGAATTGTGGTCCAAGCTTACATATGAAATGATGAAATGGAGTGAACTACACCTTTTGAGCTGCTGTGAAGTTTAATTAATATCTTAATTTTTGTCCAAGGTGCACTTCTGATAGGATTTATAACTTATACGCAACAAGACATCTATGAGGCCCAAGCACTTGCATAGGAAAAAACAGTAGAAACAGGTTGGATTGTGACCTTTAATTATTAATCAGATCTGTTTTACTGAATGATGCGGGCGCTGTCAGTCTCAACCTGTGTTTTTTCTTATCTTGAGCATAAAGTGAAGTCTACAGCTTATGTATCTATTCCTTTTTCCAGGGCGCAATACTTTCGGCCCTTTTGATAGGATACCAAGCACATATAATTTTTACTCCTAATTCCTAAATTCTGTAATACTTGTGAACTAAATTATAGAAAGAGCACAAAGTAGCATGAAACAGAAAACACTGAATTTCTAAACTTTACCATGTAATAAAGCTCTTATTTTTAAATAGGATAACTTGCAAAAGTAAAAGAAATTCTTATAAGGTAACAATAACTTGGTAGTTGCAAGTTTTGAATACTACAGAAATGCCAGCCCTCTTCTGACAGAATATCGAAATTGCAAATTTGACCATTTTAGTTAACTGTTATAACTAAGCTGAGCAATTTAGGGCAAGGTGCTGAAGGATCATCCGCCAATTAAGTTCATGGTCTCAATATCTGGGTGCAAGTTCAGGGACCCAAGTATCTGTGATGTCGTCTACAAAGACCCGATCAAGGTGAAATCAGTGCATTTTATTGGAGAAAAGGACTGGCTCAAGGTACATTCCGAGGAGCTGGCTTCTGTCTTTGATGAGCCTCTCATCATAAGGCATCCTCAGGGCCACACTGTCCCTAGGCTTGGTTCGCACTCTTCCCAAATCTTCTGTTCGATTTATCTACATGGAATCAGCATAAGCTGCTTCTTTTCTGTCGACTGTGTTTATGCATAGTGCTTTCTCGCTGATTATCTGATATATTCTTTCGCAGATGACGTATCTGTGAAACAGCTTTCTGAATGGAGCTCATCATGCGTCCTAGAAGACCTTAAGAGTGCAGATGTCATGAGGCATTCAGGAAAACCATCTGATAAGGAGGCTACTGGTGTGAAATTCGCAGAAAACCTGGTGAAAGCTTTAGTAGTGCGTGGAACTTGTTTGATCGCATGTGTATTGCATTGGCAAAACAATAAATCGTTATCTTGTAGTTGTAGCCTACAGCTGAAACAAATGGCTCCAGACATCCAGTTAAGCCTTTGCCCCAGTCCTACTTGTTGGGCGTGGTCGCATGGGCTGTGTAGCATGACTGTCGTCTGTCAGACTTGACTCGAAGCTTAACAGTCAGCTTTTGGAATGGAGGTCGCTGAAGTACAGGCACTAGGTGCCTGTTTAGTTCCTAAAATTTTGCAAAATTTTTGAAGATTCTCCGTCACATCGAATCTTTGGACGCATGTATGAAGCATTAAATATAAATAAAAAACAAAACTAATTACACAGTTTAGACGAAATTTACGAGACGAATCTTTTAAGCTTAATTAGACTATAATTGGACACTAATTGCCAAATAACAACGAAAGTGCTACAGTACCATTTCCCAAAAAAATTCGCCAACTAAACAAGGCCTAGGTGGTGAACAAGATGTTGGTGTTTTTGTTTTCTTTGTGTTGGTCTTTTCTCACCTTACTTGGTACCTCTGGGTTCATGACCCAAGCATGTAACTGGCACTTGGCGTCCTCCATTTCCGGCTTTGTCAGCATCAATGGAAAATTATTCAGGAGGGGACTATCGTGGCTTTAATCTGAAGGCGGAGAAGATTGTGCATTGCATATCAGTCAAGATGCAACTCTTATTTCGTTGACTTCCAGTGAAACATTCTGCTAGTTGTAATTGCTGAAAGGCAATGCAGTTCCTGCTTTGTTCTTCCCTCCAGTGTGTTTTCAGAACCGTTGTTTCATGTGAACCTGTAATGGTTGCCCTCCCTGCTGTGTCTTGATTGCAGTGGAAACCATTCCCCCTCCCCCCCACCCACACACATCAACTTCTGCTCTGTTAGTATCAACTAGTCCTTCGGGCGCGCCCATGCGCGTGGCCCACTGGCCACACGTTTTTTTTTTTGGAAAAAAAAGATATAAGCAAAGTTGGTTTGTATGTTGATTTGAGAAAAATCCGAGGAGGTTTGCGCAAAAAATGATGAGAGGGTTTGTGGAGCGCGGGCTGATTTTCGACAAAGATAAGGGTTTTAACCCAGCAGCCATCTGTTCTGGACCGCGGGTTGATTTCAAAATAATCTGAGGTGTTTTTTGCAAAATATCCTAAGAGGGCCTCTGGAGCGCGGGTTGATTTCCGAAAAAAAGAAGGGTTTTTTTGAAAAATGACCGCGACTCGCCCGATCTGAGCCGTCCGCACGGCCGATCGAACGGCCACAAAAAGCAAACGATGTGGACAGCCTCAGCGCGTGTGCTGGCCACAACAGATGTAAACTTTAAATGGATGGCCCGTTGTTTTTAATGCGATCATCTGTAGTTACCGTGGCAGATGTAAATTTATTCCAAACTGCTGAATCGTATTGTTGGTTTAAGATGCATGATGTGGACTATTCAAGATGCTCTTTGTGCTAAGTGAATGCAGTCTCGTCCTTTTTGTTGCTGGTTAGGTTGCAACATTTGTTGTTGGGCCTTTCTAAAAAAAAACTATTTGTTGTTGGGTGAAAGCGACATGCAGCTTTGGAGTGGTAGGTACCAGCTACCACACGTCCAAGCCTTCTTAAGGTCTCAAGTTTCTTCACATGCCCTCTAGGTCTTCTTAAGGTCTCAAGTTTCTTGTGTTTGTCAAAACTTACTCTGTGCTTGGGAGAGTTGAGCTCATGGAGCAGGACAAGAGAACCAGGGTGCTGTGCCTGCATGGCTTCCGTACAAGCGGGAGTTTTCTGAAGAAGCAGATCAGCAAATGGCACCCTTCCATATTTCAGCAGTTTGAGATGGTTCTGTGCTGATTCAATGATCTGATCTAATTGGTTTCCTTCTTTGTTTTGTTCTTGAACATTGTTCTTTTCTGTTTTTCAGGTATTCCCTGATGGCATATTCCCAGCTGGTGGAAAGTCAGAGATAGAGGGCATATTTCCGCCGCCGTACTTCGAGTGGTTCCAGTTCAATAAGGTTAGTGCTTTAGTTGGAACCGAACTGAAATCAGCTCTTCTCATGGCAAGTTATATTTCAGCTACAGTTTGATCACCATCTATGCCTTAGCTATTCATGCCAGTTGCCAGATATGACCACTCCTTTATTTTTGTTCCTGTGTGCCGAAACACTTCAGTGCTTGCATGTTTTTCCACACAGGAATTCACTGAATACACAAATCTGGACGAGTGCATTTCATATCTATGTGATTACATGGTGAAAAATGGGCCTTTTGATGGCCTGCTCGGATTCTCACAGGTAAAAATGGAAACGAGAAGTTACTTTTACTGAGCACCTGAGAGTTGAATGTCCTATCTTTTTTGGACTTTGAGTTTATTCCTGAGTTTCCTTATTGTATGATAATATCTGCATGCAAACTAGAATTGTGGTCCAAGCTTACATATGAAATGATGAAATGTTATGAACTACCCCTTTTGAGCTGCTGTAAAGTTTAATTGATCTCTTAATTTCTCTGTTCAAGGTGCACTTCTGATAGGATTATAACTTAGAACATCTATAAGGCCCAAGCACTTGCATAGGAAAGGCAGTAGAAACGGATTGGATCTTGACCTTTATTTTTTAATCTGATTTGCCTTACTGAATGATCGGGCACTGTCAGTCTTTCAACCTGTGCTTTTTCCTGTGTTGAGCATAAAGTGGAGTCTTGGAGCTTATGTATCCATTCCTCTTTCCAGGGCGCAACACTTTCGGCCCTTTTGATAGGCTACCAAGCACAGGTAATTTTTACTCCTAAACTCTGTAATACTTGTGAACTAAATTATACAGATAGCATAAAGTAGCAACAAACAGAACACCTTTTACCATGTAATAAAGCCCTTACTTTTAAACAGGATAACTTGCAAAAGAAAAAAAGAAATTCTTATAAGGTAACAGTAACTTGGAAGTTGCGAGTTTTGAATAGAGTAAAATGCACCCTGCGTCCTCAAACTTTTGGGGCATTCCCATCTGGGTCCTCCAACTAAAAATCTGGGTCCTTAATCAACTGCCTTCGCACACCAACGATCCAAAGCCCGCCACGCTAGCGCCAACATTTGACGTGGCCATGCCACAGTGGCACCTGGATGCTATGGCCGTGCCACAGTGGCAGGTGGTGGGCCTGCAGTGCATTTGTCGCGGTCCAAGCACGGGACGACCATCGCCGACGCGCCCACCGCGGTCGCGGCGCTCCTTCACGGGCTCTCCGTGAACCACAGTCGCGTCGTCGTCATGTACGACATCATCAATGCCCTCGCCGCCGAGGAGGGAGACGTGGTCGCCGCCGAGAGCAAGGAGATAGACGGCGTCACGGAGAAACCGCAGGAGAAGTCGGCGAGGAGGAGGACGTGGCCACCGCCAACTACTGTATTTGTTTCGTTCCTTATTTGCAGGAGTGGCTACTCCATCTCAAGGACGGGATCCATATGGCATCGCGTCGCTGATGGCGCCCATTGTCGGCGCCTTCTTCCTGCTGCTCAACTCGAGCGACTTCTTCCTGTACCCGAGCACGGCCGTGATCCGCACGTGCACATGCGCCATACGTCGGTGGCCGTCTCCACGATGAGCGAGCTGTTCGGGACCAAGAACTTCGACGTCCTATTGCCAACCGCTTCCATGCCTATGACAAACTCAGCGTTCAAGATCGACGGAGCACCATTGCCACTACTGCTGCTCTGCGCCGCCTCACTCCGTTGCTCGCCGGCCTTCGGATGCGCGCTGTCCGCTAGGACACTTTGGGCTGGCGGGGTCTCCGTCGCGGCCGAGGCAGACGTGGTGGCGTCGGCGGGAAAGAACAACAACAACGATGACCTGTTGAATGGGGAGTGGACGTGGGCCGACGGCGTTGGCGGCGGCTACTCGTTCTACAGCTCCGCGGTGATCTGGCGCCGGGGACGGAGGCGCGCCCTGCGATCATGAAGTAGTTCTCGAGCGGGAGCTGCATCACCACGCCGCACTTGAAGTGGAGCGACAGCTCCGGCACCGCCGCCACCACCGCTTCCGCCACGGGCGGGAACAACGTTGGGTCGAGGTACGTGAACGTGGTGCCGGAGTAGGACAACTTGGGGAGGCGGAGCTGCGCGGGCACGGACGGCGTGCCGCGGCCGAAGCCGGCGGGGCCCGACGGCAGCTGGTGCACGAACATGAGGCTGCACCCGAGGACGAAGCCGGGGATGGCCCGGCCTGGGCATTATGTCTGGCGACAGCGCCAGCGCCGCCGGGAGCGCGAGGCCGGCGTCGCGGCTGTGGTGCTGGTTCGGGAGCCACGGAGATGGACGACGCCCGGGGCCTGGTTGCGACGTGGAGGGCCGCCGTGGCGAGGAACACGAACGCCAGGAGGAGGAGAACGAGACGCCCCGCTGTAGGCCCACCACCTGCCTCTGTGGCGTGGCCACAGCATCCAAGTGCCACCGTGGCATGGCCACATCAGATGCTGGTGTTGACGTGACGGGTTTTGGACGGTTGGTGTGCGACGGCAGTAGATTATGGACTGGGTGGTCGCTTTTTTTAGTTCGAGGATCCCAGATGGGAACGCCCCAAAAGTTTTAAGACCCGACGTGCATTTTACTCTTTTGAATACTATAGAAACACCAGCCTCTTCTGACAGAATATCAAAATTGTAAGTTTAACCATTTTAGTTAATTGTTGTAACTATGCTGACAAATTTAGGGCAAGGTGCTGAGTGATCATCCACCGATTAAGTTCATGGTCTCAATATCTGGGAGCAAGTTTAGGGACCCAAGCATCTGTGATGTCGCTTACAAAGACCCGATCAAGGTGAAATCAGTGCACTTTATTGGAGAAAAGGACTGGCTCAAGGTACCTTCCGAGGAGTTGGCTTCTGCCTTTGATGAGCCTCTCATCATAAGGCATCCTCAGGGCCACACTGTCCCTAGGCTTGGTTCGCACTCTTCCCAAATCTTTCTGTTCGATTTGTCTCCATGGAATCAGCATATAAAAGCTGTTCACCAGTGTTTATGCATAGTGCTTTCTCACTGATTATCTGATATGTTCTTCCGCAGACGATGTGTCTGTGAAACAGCTTTCTGAATGGAGCTCATGCATCCTGGAAGTCCTCAAGAGTGCAAATGTTCCCGAGGCCTTAGATTCAGGCAAACCAGCTGACAAGGAGGCTACTGGTGCGGAATTTGGAGAAAACCTGGTGAAAGCTTGAGGCATGCCCACTTTCATGGCATGGTTGCATTTGAAACTTTTTACCGTTTTTACTATGATCTGAGTAGTGCGTGGAACTTGTTTGATCGCATGTGTATTGCATTGGCAAAATAATAAATCGTTATCTAGAGCTACAACTGAAACAAATGGATTCAGACATCCAATGCATTACATTCGTTCGCAAGGTATTGTTTTTTTTCTCGAAAGGGTGGCAAAAGCTTTGCCGCGGATTTTATTAGACGAAAAAAAGAAAAAAAGAGCAAATACAACTCCCTATTTACACCCAGCATCCCCTGCTAATTAACAGCCTGTTCGGGAGGCCGTATCGTATCGTGGATTATTTACTGCTGGCTGGTTTGGTGTGAGAGAAAAACACTGTTCTCGGCTGTAAATTTACGATCGTTTACGAGCAAGCGAATAGGCTGTTACGGAACCAGCAAAACAGCAGAAAAAACAACTGCACAAAAGAAAACAGGTAAAAAGACTGAGACTAGGGACACTCCGAAAACAAGAACCTGGCCCAAACTGGAGAAGAGGTCTACTGCTAGTTCGCCGTATTATGAATTGGAGTCGTCGCCAAAGAAAACTGACTTATATCATCTTTGCACAAACTTGCGACTTGTCTTGGGCTTAAACTTTTTTGTTGGAAAGTTCGTCTATTCCTCTCTTTCCAGATATTCCACCAAAAATAGATTATGATCCCGTCGAAGCGCCGTCTTTGATTTTTGTCAACTTTTCTCCTACATCTTCGCCAGTAATTATGAAGCGGCCCAGTTGTGTTTATGGAGCTAAGGTCAGTTAAACTGAACCATATCTTGATCAACTCCCACACTTCCTTAGTGAAAGGTCAATCTTTACACAGGTGTGTGGATGTCTCTTGATCATTTGCACATAATTTACATATGGGGTCATCCGTCCATCCTCGCTTCATCAAGTAGTTTGCGGTCAGAATTTTTTTGTGCATTAGTGTCAATGCGAAGAATCTGCATTTCGGTTGCATCTTGGCCTTCCAAATTGGCATAATTCTGAGCTTGGAAAAGGTCCCCTGGAACTGAATTTCATAAGCGCTTTTTGTTGTGTACTCTCCACTTTCTGTCCAACCGTCATCTTATATGGTCTTCCATATTGTTGATCAATTGCGTATCATTGATGGCCTCCCAAAGGTCGGCAAATTCAGAGACCTCTGCCTGTGAATTCGGAGGATATATGTGGTCAATCCATCTGTTATTTTCTAGAGCCTTTTGCACTGTAATCTTCTTCCTGTGCGTCTTCTTAAACAAGCTAGGCGCGATTGTTTTTGCCTAAGCGCCGTTAATCCATGACGAAGTCCAGAACAAAGTTGTTTTTCCATTGCCAATATTTACTACGGTTGATGCGTTGAAAAGCTCATGATCGGTCTTGTCGCATGGGACTTCTAGGTTTGTCCATGCTCTTTCCTTTTGTTTCCACTTGAACCATAGCCATCTCAACCTCAAAGCTCTTGTGAATCTCTCTAAATCCATGATACCAATCCCCCCCTTTTCCTTTGGAAGGCAGGTGGTTGGCCAGTTTATAGGTGAATGTCCCCCGGTAACGTTCTCTAGAGTTTCACCGCGCCAAAGGAAACTGCGGCGTAATCTATCAATCCTTTTGAGCACCCCTTTTTGCGCCAGGAAAACTGTGAAGTGGTATATTGGAATGGAGGAAAGAACTGTTTTTACTAATGTTTCTCTTCCAGAGGTTGTCAATAATTTTCCTTTCCATCCCGGCAGCCTGGCTCCTATCTTATCTACTAGCAGCTGGAATTCAATTTTCCTTAGCTTCCTTGTGTGAAGTGGTAGCCCAAGATATTTTCCTAGAAAAGTTCCAATTTTTCCAGGGAAATTCTGGATGAGTGAAGGTATTAAGTCGGGCTCTACCCTTATCGGAAAGATCTCCGTCTTTTCCATGTTAATTTTTAGCCCCGAGCATTCTCCGAAGAACTTTAGTATTTTTTGAAAATTCTTCACCTCTGTAACGTTTGGGTTTGCAAATATGGCTGCATCGTCCGCATACAAAGAGCATCGCAAGTTTGTGGCCTTGGGCAAAACCGGGTGTAGAATACCCCACCGAGCTGCATGTTCGATGATACGTTGTAACGGGTCTATGGCGATGATGAACAATAAAGGTGACAATGGATCACCCTGCCCGAGACCTCTCGCGTGAGGAATATTTTGAGTCGGTTTACCATTAACGAGAATTTTGGATGATGAAGTGCCGAGAATTGCTGATATCCAGTTGCGCCACTTCCTGCTAAAACCGAGTGCTTTAAGCACCTCAAGGAGATAGGGCCATTCTATTGAGTCGAAAGCTTTCGAAATGTCCAATTTGATAAACAAAGCTGGCTTCTTGTTCTTGTGTAGGAGCTGGATGACCCTTTGTACATAAATGAAATTATCGTGAATACACCTTTTCCTGATGAAAGCATTTTGGGCATGCGACACCAACTCATTCAAGTGTGGCGCCAATCTGTTCGCCAGCATCTTAGTGATGATTTTAACCATGCTGTTATTGAGACTTATTGGTCTATATTCATTTAAAGTCCTTGCATCTTGTTTTTTCGGCAGCAATACAATATTGGCCTCGTTGAACAAACTCATCTTAGCATTTCTGTGGTTATAGAAACCAAGTATTGCTGCGTAAAGATTGTCTTTGATTATTTCCCAGCATTTTTTATAGAAAACTCCAATGAAGCCGTCCGGGCCCAGAGCTTTTTCCGGCGGTAATTCCCTGATTGTGTTGAGCAATTCCTCTTCTGTGAATGGCGTGTCTAAATCATCGAGGTTGTGCGGGGAATAGCCCAGCTGCTCCCAATTGATAGCCCGACCTCTCGGCATTCTACTACCAACAGCATTGGAAAAGAACTCTAGTGCAGCTTTAGATTTGTCCTGCTGAGTGACGGCGAGCCCCTCATCAGTTTGGATTGTGCTAATATAATTTTTCTTATGTCTAGCGTTAGCCTGGAGCTGAAAAAACTTGGTATTAGTGTCCCCTTTTCTAATCCAAGTCAGCCGGGAATGCTGTCTCGCTCTTGCCCTTTGAATGGCAGCGAAGCCTAAAGATTTCACCTTCAGGTATCTTTTAAATTCCAACTCTTCCGTCGTCAGCGTGCGTCTTTCTTGTGCTTTCTCTAGTTCTAATAGAATCAAGTGAAGAATTGTTGGATGCAACATTGACTGAGATTGATACCACAGGCTGTAATAGCGCTCCATTTCTTCCTGAAGTTTCACCAACTAACAAACATTCTATCTAGAAAGATTTGGAGAAAATTGAACCAATGAATATGAATAGCTCAACACCATATTCAGTGTTTCACTGCAACCACTCAACCAGCCTTCTGATCTATGTTTCATTTACCACTTCATTCATTCCAGACCATCATTGGCAGGTCTTGGGCGCTGAAAACCTTCTGCTGCATTTGTCTAGCGAAGCCTATATGTACACTGGGCACTAAACTTATCTTTTGGAGTTGGAACAAACAAGAGCTATGTACAGGCAAAACTAACACTATATTCCTCATCTAGGCCCCCCACTAAGTTCTGTAAGCCTGAAAGCCTGCAACTGTTTCATGGCGAGGAGCTTCTGTCTTCGATTTCATCATCACACGCCCAAACGACGTCCTTCAGCTCCGTGGACAGAGTTTTGTAGAACTGTGAATGGTAGATGTTAGTTTAGATACTGAATTGATTATTTGAACTATTTTGAGTAAGATTAGTACATTTTGAAACTCCAGAGTATCTCCCTTTGCCTTCTTGAGCTCAACCACATGAAGCGATGGAGCCACTTGGAAAACCTAAACATGCCACAGGATAATATCTCAATTAATAATTCTCTTTTATTTCCAAAGTTTTTTCTTATCGTTGGGTGTTCTCCCTTACCTCAGTCTCAACATTAAGATTTCCTTTTCTTCCTGCTGTTGGGTTTTCCAGTAACATCTAAAAGAACAATGGGGGAGAAAAAAAATTATGTGTTGTTGGTAGGGAGTGATAAAGATTACTGTATTTATTGATACTCAAATTTGCTTCAAGCTTTGCAGGATTAGTTCAAGAGTGCTATTGTGATAATAGGAACATCTTTTTTTGAAGAAAATGATAATAGGAATAGAGGCAAGGATTGTCATCATACCTTGTAATTTTTCTTTTGGACATCAAACCCAAGTGGCTTAGAAGCTTCTTCTATTCTATTGATGATTTCTTTCGGAGGACACTGTGATGTGAATCGTGTTTCTCGCTTGTACTTCTGTCAGAGATTAGTAAAATTGAGCTCATCAGCACAATTACACATTTCAGACTGTTTTGTAGAAAATGTGTATAGTAAAACACATTATATAGGCGATATAAACTGATTCATGATACACACTTCTGCAACTGAAACTGAAATATCCTTACCTTATCAGATTCAAAAAAATTATCCAGATTCAACCCTTTGTTCATTGAAATCAATTCAAATGCATTCATCGAGGCTGGTTGCCCTTCAATTTCCTCAATCACATGATGTTCCTGAAAAATGTACGGCACCGTCAACTTAATAATATTATTTCAACCACAAAAGGCTTATACTTTTAAGTGATATAAGCTGGTTTAATCAATTAATTCACCTCTGAGTCTCCAAAGGCAGCATCAACATCATCTAGGCTAGCTTGAAATGTTTTATCGAAAACAGGTTGCTTGTAACCTTTTTTAAACCATGGATCTTTTTGTACTTGAGGAATTGTAATCCGCTGTTAAAGTAACAATAAAAAACCAAGTAAGATAGAATTCCACAAGCAACACAGGCACTGACAAGCAGTGGTGATCTAATAGTGAAAATGTTCATCTTGAAAATCATCCAGTACTGACTTCAAGCTGTCACTTGTGCTTCATGAAAATTGTTCTTTTCCACATTCATATTTAAGTAGTGACTTACAGTGGAAGGATTAGGATCCAGAATTCTGTTGATCAGCCTCTTTGCTCCAGCAGAAAACCAAGATGGACATGTAAACTGAGCTTCTGAGATCTGCAACAGAGATAAAAATAAAAGAAAATGTATCCTAAAATGTCAGTTTTTCAGATTTTTTTTTGGGGGGGGGGGGTCAAAGAAGTAGTAGTTTCATGTATATACCTTTTTATAAAGGGATGCGATGTTGTCATCCTCGAAAGGCAGACATCCTGCGAGCAGCACAAAAAGGATCACCCCACAAGACCAAAGGTCAGCAAGGGCACCATCATAGCCTTTGTCATCAATAACCTACATATTGGATATCAATCTGTATTAGGCAAACTTATTTCTGGTTAAAACAAAAAAGAAGAAGAGATGTACAAAAAAAATATCACCTCTGGAGCAACATAGTTAGGTGTTCCACATGTAGTATGCAGCAATCCATCATTCTGCTAGCATTGAATTAGTTAAAGATTGTGGTGTAAATTAGTGAAATGCAGTTGTTGTTGTTGTTGTTGCTGCTGCTGCTGCAGTGAATCCAAAAGAAAGAAACAGAAAGAAATAAAACACAATAATTTCTGTAGTATCTTGTCTGATAGTACCTTCACTTGGTCTGATAAAGCACTTAACCCGAAATCTGAAATCTTGAGGTTTCCAGCAACATCAAGTAACAGATTCTCTAGCTGCATACGAGAAATATCAACATTTAAGTTTCATACTATTTCCTTGATCATAACTGATGATACAAACAAAGAGCAGAATCAAGGATGAACAATACTGCACCTTCAAGTCTCTGTGGTATACACCCCTACTGTGGCAATAGTCTACAGCATTGATCAACTGCTGAAAGTATCTACGTGCTTCCTCCTCCTTCAATCTTCCACTTGTGGCCTGATTGTGAATTTGGACAGTGAATCACAAACTGTCATGTAGAGAAAAGAAGCAAACGTGCTATATATATAAAGCTTGGAATGTTAAATGTCTCTTTATGCAAAGTTTAGGCTGGAAAAGCAGCTAGCAACTAGCATGCTATATAAATTATCATTGATGAGAAAAGAATAAGGTCAAATGACAGAGGAAGCATTGGCAATGATACAACAGTGCTTACAATGATATCATGGAGCTCTCCACCCATAACAAACTCCAGCACAATGTAAATCCTTGTTTTACTTCCCATCACCTGTTATAAAAAAAGGAACAAAAACAATGCAAATAAATGGTTATGAACTGTAGACCTGGATGTGCATCCCATTCCAATGCAAGAAACGTAATACTGAAAAAATAATATAATTTTACATTTAAAGTTTAAGCTTTATTACCTCATACAGGCGAACAACATTGGGATGCTGTACTAACTTCATTGTACAGATTTCCCTTCTAATCTGCCATACAGTTGAGAGGGTGGGATCAGTAATTATCTTTTTTCTCACTAGATATATATCGCAAACAGAAGGGAATTCACTGTAAATAACTTTTTTTGAATCGTGCAGTGAAAATCTATGGAAATAGAATGCAGAGTCTTAACACTTCACCTGTTCAGCTAGTTTGTTCTTGTGAACCTTTGCCTTGTCAAGAATTTTGATAGCAACATGATCCCCGTTCTCCATGTTCTTGGCGATCCGGACCTTTGCAAATGTTCCTTCCCCAATGGTGCGTCCGAGCTCATACTTGCCAACGCGGCGCTTTGCTTTGAGCGAAGCAGCCCTCTTAGCCCTGTACATCCTGCTGCTCTAAAGCCAGTCTTTGCCAGGCGCCTTGAAACTAGCTAGCTACTTCTCAAAGGCCTGCTGCACCTGAAAGACGAGCAAAGATTGAAATGTGCAGAAAGCATAGTAATTTGGCATTCAGAATTGACAGGCATAGCATATATACAATAACTGTGGTACTGCATTGCAAAGGGAAATCTGTACAGAACTGAATATGAACATAGCAGATAGAGGTATACAATAATCCGAAAGGTGAAAGTCTTTGTCAGTACAGAATACAACACGAACTGCATCAGAAATACATTTACAAGCAAATGAAATGAATAAACCAAAAGTAGGCGCGGGCAACTGATTACACAGAGAGAGCACATAGGCTAGGAAGAAATTCGATGAATTGGATCTATCTCGATCTGATCTCAATATAATCCAGTTGTCTCCAGCAGGCATATCAAGCAGGCTAGGCTATTTTCACTTCTCAGGCATCGTGGCCGGGTGAATAAAACGTACAGGAAACTGAATCTCGGTCTCGCGGTGAATACAAAACCAAACACAAGTCTGAGCTGGTCAGAATTCCGCGGCAGCAAGGCTAGAAAAAGGGTCAAAATAAAAAAGAAAGAAAGCACGAGAAAATGAAATCGCTGTACCCCAGGAGGTCTCATCCTCCAGCAGCACAGCAGGAACCAAGAAACACGCACGCACAGGCACAGCACAGGTATGTACTGCGACGAAGAAGCAGAAGGGAGAAGAAATCAAGAAACTCGCATGAAAAGGACGTCGGTCCTACCGCCATACCTGCTCCTGCTTCTGAAGGGGACAGCCAAATGACGACGACGATGTAGCAAGCAGGCTAGGGGCCGGCCGGTGGAACTAATCGAAATCCACTACAGGCTAAAATAAAGTGGAATGCTCACGTCGATCGATCAGGTGTACCTTGGGTTGGGTTGCGGCCGGGGAAGAAGCGAGCGAGCTAGCGGCCGGCGTCGTCGTCGTCGTCGTCAGGGACGAAGCGCGTGCAGAGAGAAGAGGGCCGGCGGGGAGAGATATGGAGGACATGCGGTTTGGAGGTCTGCAAGAGACGAGCGTTACGAGTCGGAAACTACGAGGAAGGAAGGATGAAGAGAGGTTGACGGCTTGGTTGCGTTGTGGCGAGCCGGCGACAAAGCATGCCATGCCCACGCGAGGCAGGCAAGGCAACCACACGAGCACACCGCGGAGGAGCCGAGGAAACCACATACAAGTCGGTCGATCGATGCTGGTTAACGGAGTGCTCCTATCCTATCAACTACTATCATGGTACGGTTGGTGCTCCGAATTTTGCCATGGATCGGATTCGGATGCTCATGCTCCTTTCTCCATCTCACGCACCTTGGACAACTTCATTCCCTTTTAGGTGCCTGTCTACTTCCTTTTTTTTGTCTGTGGGCGCCGGCAGGCCTGTCCTGTGGTGCCATTGCCATCCATCAGATGATTACTATATACACGGTGACTTTTTATTTGTGTCCACGGTAATTTGATTCTATCATCTCCTTGTCAAGACTTGCTTATCCATCAGTCACTTTCGTTAACTAATTGTTACATCTCAAATCAACGGTATATCCGATGATAGATCACACTCACTCTGAGAGTTCATGCATGGACCCAGATGAAAATGTAAGAAGAGAGCTTAGAGATCCACCACGGTTACATTTCACTCTTTAATTTCTTTTGATGAAACGCCAGACTAGCTTCATTATTATTATTGTTATTATTACGCGGCTGGAATAATGGATGGTGGACATGCAGTACGTGATTAGCATGCTGGAGCTGGAGCTGGAGCATTCAAAATTGATGGACTGCTGGCCTGGCTGCCATTGACATTACCATATACTATTATGCAATGCAAAACACGATCGTGCCTAGCTAGCCTAGATCCAATCGGCAATTGAACTAGTATTCAATCAATTTCTCTTCATTGGTCAGAGGACGAATTCTTTTTTTTTTCTCCCCTCCCTCTCTGCTCTGATCATCATTTTTGTTGTTTGTTTGAGACGGGCGCAATCAGAGACGCTTGGCAGTTAGGACTGATATTAGGAGCGCAATGCAAGCTAAGCGTAATCAACAGAATAATATACAAGAGGTACTCATATATTTTTTTTTTTCACATGATGCTAACTTTACAGTATTTATTTGCATATGGCCACCGCTTGGTGCTGGTGGGGTATAGGAGTATATGCTAGGCACGAATGAGGATCTCATGCGCTAGTCCTAAGTACAAAGAATATACCCTCGTCTAGCTCTGGCAGGTACATCCAAATTGCTGCTCATATATACATTCTCTATGGAATGCATTGCTTCTCTTATATATTGAACCTGCCGTTCGTCCGTACCAAGCATGGAACAACCCAAGCTATCTCCAACAACAACAACAACAACAACACCGACTTATTTGTCATTTGAATAACGCTACAGGCAAAAGGTTCAATAGCTATTCAGTATCTTCTCCAATAACAAGACCTAAAAGAGAATCCTTTCTGCAAATGGGTTTCCAGAAAAGAGGATACCCATATTTGGGTTGTGCCTCTCAGGCAACCCAAAATAGAATTCTCGTATAGGTACTATGTTGAAAACTGATTTTGAGTCTCTTGCTACCCATTTTGGGTTTGGGTGCCCATATGAGTTCTTTGTTGAAAACAGTCTTAGAGGCCTTTTGGTTCAGATCTTGAGAAACTTGTCTAACCCAAGCAACAACCTCTTGTGTTCTGTTATTGAACACGACATAGGCCAGGTGTCGTTACGACTATGAGATAGACATGGTCTGTTGCTCTTGTGAGAAAAGAAGGTTTTAGAAGCGATAGAAAAAACTTTATTTATTTTAGTATTAAAAAAATATAAATACGAATACCACCGAGCGCACACTTTAGTTGGTCTGTGTATCATATAAATCTATGGACATGCATTTGCATACGCACCACCTGCTAGGAAGCTTCCTCTTCTGAAGTGCATGCGGTGCGTACATCCAGGCATAGGGCAGGCAACACGTGAAACAAAGCGAGGACCAGGTGTAGTTACGACTTCGTTCTGTTGCTCTTGTGAGAAAGGAAGATTTTAGAAACGATAGAAAATACTTTATTTATTTTTGTATTGGAAAAATTAAAATTCAAATATAACTGAGCATGCCTTTAATTAATTTGGTCTATGTATCATATATAAATCTATAGACTTGCATTGCATAAAATGACCTGCACCACCTGCTAGGAAGCTTCTTCTCCTAACGTGTAGATGGTGCGTACATCTGAGCACTCAAGGCAACAAACAAAATGAGAACCCACCAAACCACGTCAGCATTGTTGGCAAAGGGACTCGGGATTGCAAGGGCAGCATTGTTGCCTTGTCAACACAAGCCCAATCTAGGTCTCGTCGCCGCACCATCGGACCAGTCTCCTCTAACTTAAGTCTAACTTAATTAAATTAGATTTTAGGTTACCATTCAACGACTCGTGTTCCTCTAACTTAAGTTAGATGAACCGATTCTCACTGGCAGCATAACACCCCTAAGAATCCCTTTGGAATACAGAAAATTCACAGAAATTATACATGAATTTTGCATGAATCAGTTTATTTTCACAGACAAATTAAAAAGTACAGAAAACAGAAAAAAAAATCCCGCATGCAGAGAGGGCTTAGAAATGAGTCTTGTGTAACGACGATTCAAGTCCCGCGAGATATACAACACAAAGTTAAGACGATTGCACCCTTTTTAAAATAAATAAATTTGTTTTTTTAGTGACGTACCGATTCAGTTGTTTATGTAATGTAAGTGAATGCTGTACGTGACTGGCATGCTTGCTGGCTCGCTCTTCTTTAAAAACGCCATGGTGGACAGGCACCAGTTGTCATTTATTTAGTAAAACAAATAGTTAGTCAAGTTTTTTTTTAAAAGTTTTCAGCTCATCATCACAAACTAAAAGAAATGAGAAAGTTGTCTGATGCAAGCAATAATCTTATGCGTCCGATTTTGATTGACTGTGGTTTGGATGAAGCAAAGGTGACAAGACTAGGCAACTTTCGTAGGGGTAGGGCAAACATGTTTTACGTAACTCGATCGAGTAGCTCTTGGACGAGGACATTGCCACCAACAACGCCGTGGATGCGGTGTTTAGGTCCTGATTAGATCATGTTTGCTTTGGAGGAAAAAGGAGAAGCTAATGGGGCAATCCCTGTCACGTCTGAACTGCATCACATTGAGATGTTCATAAAGAAATCACGACAATGTGATGTATTGATCCTAGATGTCCACGTGAGAACGCTTATTTTTAGATAATGAAAATTGTTCCGGCTTCAACCTCACCAAAGACATGACAATGATTATATATGAAGGCACGGACACGGGCCAGGTGTCGTTACACCTACGAGATAGACATGTATGTTCTGTTGCTCTGGTGAGAAAGGAAGGTTTTAGAAGCGATAGAAAAAAAACTATTTATTTTAGTATTAGAAAAATATAGATACGAGAATACAACTGAGCATACCCTTAATTAATTGATCTATGTATTAATACAATGGGCTTATATTGCATACGGCTGCGTGCACCACCTGCTAGGAAGCTTCCTTTCTGACGCCAGCAGTGGTGGTGGGGCGCATATTGGCACGCAGGACAAGCAACACGTCAAATAAAATGAGGACCCACCAAACCACGTTAGCATTGTTGGCAAGGCACTTTCGGGATTGCAAGGCAAGCATTGTTGCCTTGTTGGGACAAACCATCTCGTTGCCGCATCACCAACCAAAGTCCCCTACACTGGCGTGGCGGGATCCAGCGTCCCCTGCAGGCGGATTTGCCCGATTCGGTAAGCCGCGATCGAAAGAAGTCCGGATGGACGTGGTGGTACGGTCACCGAGGCGCTGGTGGTCCGCACCCATGGGAGCAATGACGGCGGACCGAGAGCCGACCATGGCGGCGGACAGACAGCAGATTTTTGCGACATGGCGTGGCTTCGCCCGGAGTTGTTTGCTATCATGCGCAAGGGTGAGAACAT